TAAAATATAATCCAAGGTGGGAGTCTCCTTGTGTTACAGGATTCTCGCCTCGGCTGACTGGACATGTGACACTTATGATTGATACTGGCGCCGAGGTTAATTTGCTAAAAAAGAATTGTATTAAACCTTTAACAAAAATTGACAAGACCGACTTACTATAGTTGACAGGAATCACTCTTGAAAAACAGTACACACTGGGTACTTTAATTATTCGCATATTCGAAGAAGACGTTTTATTTCATTTAGTCGACGAGAGCTTCCTCATTCATTTCGACGGTATCTTGGGGATGGATTCCTTAGGATCCAGATCCGCTATTATTAATAATACCCTCAAATGTTTGAATTTTAAGAATATGTCCGTACCCTTTTCAAGAAACGAAAGTATTTGCTTTCCGTCACGTTCGTCTAAAATTTCTTACTGTTACATTAAAAACTCAGAAATTTCAGAAGTTTACATGCCCCTCTTACAGCTTCCAGCTGGTATTTATGCTGGCAAAGCTTTAATTAAAAATAGTAACGGTAAAGGTTTTTTCAAGATTTCAAACACTACATCAAAGCAATATATGTTTGAAATCCCGCGTTGGGAACTTTCGGATTTTAGGGAGGATACCCTTCTAAATTCAGGACCCAATACTAGTAACAAAACTAATGCTCCTGACTCGTCCGAGATCCTATCTTTTATCCATGCAATTTTCACCGAAAAGAATAAAGAAGAGTGTCCTTAGTTAAATACCCTTGAGACCAAACCTTTCTTTACATCCTCTCGAGCTGAATCTGTCAGAGCACTTCTCCGCCTCGATCACCTGAACTTAGAAGAGGCACGGTCTGTTTCCAAGTTAATAGAAGACAACGCAGACATTTTCCATTTACCGGGCGAACCCCTCGGATGTACGGACATACTGAGGCACAAAATTTTTACGACHRAWAACGTTCCTGTGCATACAAAACAGTACCGATTTCCACCTGTCCACAAAGAGAAAATCTCACGTCAAGCATCAGAGTTGTTAGAAAATGGTATAATAAAACCATCTATTTCGCCTTATAACTCTCCATTATGGATAGTTCCAAAGAAAGCGGATTCTGGAGGAAACCCCAAGTGGAGAATGGTAATAGACTACCGTAACTTAAATGAAAAGACAGTAGGTGATGCCTACCCCATTCCTAATATAACGGAAATACTTGATCAGTTAGAAGCAGCAAAATATTTCTCCATCTTTG